AACCTTCTATATGCTCACACATGGTACAGTACAGCTTCTACAATATGGTTTACAACTTCAAAGGGCTTCCAGTCTACAGTGTGAGTTGGATATGAATTATAATGACAACAGAATAAAATGTGTTTAGGACCTGGCAACAGTGGCTCACATTTGTAATCCTAGCTACTCAAGAGACTGAGATCTGAGGATCACAGTTCAAAGCCAGCTCAGGCAGGAAAGTTTCTGATATTCTTATCTTTAATTAGCCACCGAAAAACTAGAAGTAGAGCTGTAGCTCAAGTGATAGAATGTTAAATTGAGAAAAAAGAAAAAAGGCTCAGGGACAGTAACCAGGCCCTGAGTTCAATCCCCAGGACTGGCACTCAAAAAAAAAAAAAATGTGTTTGGGAAACAAAGTAAAAGAAAAATAGATATTGAGAAAAAAAACTGGCAAAGTTTCAGAGAGACTTTACATTTGATCTGATTTTTTAAAGACTGAAGTGCATTTATGGAAACTGAAAGGCGATTGAAGCATGAGCAAAGCTCAGACCCTATAGAACACATGGCAAAATCAAAATTGGCAAAAAGATGGGGATGGAAGAAAGTCTAGGCACTAAGGCTAAAAAGCTACCTGAAGGCTTTATAAACTTTACAGTAGAATTGTAAGTGATGGGGAACCATGGTTCATTTATAAGAACAAAGCAATACAAAAAGTTTTGTGTTTTCAGAAGATAAATCCAGCAGTTTTCAAAATTCACAACCATAGTTTTACTAGCCAAAAACAAAATAAAATACATTAAGAGAACAACTACACACACATACACACACGAAAAAAATCAGACACTTGATTTTCAATTTCCTTAGGGGGAATCAGAATGTGGGCAGCCAATGAAGCACATTCGCTTTCCAAATGGCTGCCATAGGTCCACATTTAATAATGCAAACAATTTTGGAAACTATATGAGCATATAAAATCAACTTGCTATGACCTATTCTAGCAATGTCTTTGTACTTACTGATCTTGCTGAAAGGTGAATCATCAATTCAGGAAGAGAAGATGTCCTGATGACCTCACTTATTCTAAGCCCATAGAAATATCCCCACCTCTGCTGGCTCCAGGGCTTTTGAGAAACACCATAATTGAACAAGCAGTCCTTGTAGTATAAGTCTCTGATTTGGTTGTGGTTGTGAAAGATTGGGAGGAGGGGGGAGGAGAAAGGGAAGGAACCAAAACAGAGTAACATAAAACCCAGGATAATGAAACTATACTGCCATTTTTTTTAGCCTTAAAGAAAATCACAGCCTGAGACCTTCTCCTAAAGTAATTAGAACAAGAAAATGCATGCATAAGAATAGTATCAGGTCACCAAAGTAAAACTCAGGGAAATAAAAGCCCAGCTGACCACTGCCCTTATTAAGCAGATGACAATGTGAACATAGTCAGGGAGGAAAAAGTGAGATTCTGGCAGTTTGTTGAATTTCACAGCTCTATTGCTGATATAAAATATTTCCTTTAAAAATTTTTACTTAAAAATTGCCACTGCAGTCCATCCAGAAGTAGAATTACAAAGAACACAGAATCTTTCAGTGTTAAATAATTTCAATCATACCTATGTTTTGGTTATGATCTTTCATTATCAATTTGACTACACTAATTAGCTCCCACCCAACAGCATGTATAATGCTCATAAGAACTTGAGAACTTGAGGTGAGTACTATTATTATCCCACATTTTATGCCAAAAAAACAAACAAAAAGAGTTGGTTATTCCAAGCCAGTTGAAGCAATAGATGCAAAGATACTGCCTAATGAAGACCTTTGGACTTGCTGCTGTGGGAGAACTTGTTGCTATGGGAAGAGATGGTACAGGATAGAAGAGGAAGTGTCAGGCAAAGAGAGGAGCCACTTGCAGTAAATCTTCATTAACAGAGAGTTCTGAAAAGGAGCTAGGACAAAAAGTGAGTATCAACTGGACAATATATGATTATACAGAAATAAAGCCAACAAATAAAAGAATGACAGGGCTAGACACAAATCCAAGTTGACCTCCTCAAAAGAAACTTTTAACTAAATTTTATTTCTTCTGAGGAAATAAAGTTGCCTTGCTAAAGACAAGTTAACTCCGGTTAACCCTTAGAACAGTGGGCAGGAAAGATGAGAAAATTAGAGATCATATGGGGGCACTGAATTTGAGATATCAGAGGAATACTACAATAGAGACATTCACTAAAGAGTTCAATATGTGAATCTTCAGCTCTGGCCTGGCTGCTAATCTGCCAGATCCTCATTCCCACTGCGGGTCCAGATACTACACTGCCTCCCCCTGCTTCTGGTATATTTCTCAGGAGAAACAATGAGACTTTCGTCAGTGTAGATGACTAATTTTAAAGATGTGTGTGTGTGTTGGGGGGGGGTGGTGTTTAACTGGGGCTTGAGGACCTGGCCTGGGCGCTGTCCTTGAACATTTTTACTCAAGATCAGTACTCTACCATTTGAGCCACAACACTACTTCTGACTTTTGGTGGTTAATTAGAGGTAAGAGTCTCATGGACTTTCTTGCCCCAGCATTTAACTGCACTCCTCAGATCTTAGCCTGCTGAGTGAGGAGTGAGCCACCAAGCTTGGCTATTTGGAAGGTTTTAAAGCAAACTACTTGGAAATAAGATTGGACTAACACACACCTGGACACTGACATGCCTCTTTTCAAATGTTTATAATATTAGTCATCAGAGTACATGATCAGTCAAAAATCTAGAATGCTTCTCCACTTTCCACCCAATAACAAATGGCGATTGTTAGCCCCTGCCTTTCACCAGGTAATAAAAGCATGACTTACCTTGCCTACTCACCAGAGCTTTCCAGAAAGAAAAGATGTTAGAAAATTAAGCTTACTTTTACCAATTCCTGTTAGAATGTATACCTCATAGATGACCAACTTGCAAATGCCATTGTTACAAGTTAACTTTCAAAAGTGCCACTTACTGCTGATATTTCAATGCAAATTAATATTCAAATTGTTTAAAAATTGAGGGTTAAAGATTAATCATCACAGTTTGTCAAATACTCAAGAGAGAAGTTCAGAACTTAGAATACCTAAGGAAGGCTTAGTTCAATCTGAACAAGGTGAAAAAGTAAAGTCGGAAGTATGACGTCCTCTTCACTTGGGTTGTGCTAAGGAATTAGAATGGTTATGGTAGGTTAGTGACAAAATTCTATGTGAAGTCGAAGAAAGCAAAAAACCTACTAAAGTTATTTACTAATCAGTCCAATCGCTCAAAATCAAAGATATCACTAATCCAGGTACAGGATTCACAGCACTTTGTCTATCCTATAATATCTAGTCAGTGACCACCTCCTTGCTTTAGCATATTCTCTTCCTTTTGCTCCTACAATCACATTCTTTGACTAGATGTTCAAGGCCCATTCTTGGAAGACTGGTGAGCATCTAGAGGATAAGTCAAGAAATGCCATTTTGATTTGTCTGGTAAGAAAAAGAATTCTGAATGGATGAATTTACACTGTGTATAAACTATGGCACCTCACTGGTAAAAACACTGCATTTCCTTAATAAACCATATCCTTGCCTCAGCCATGCTTACAAACTAATTTATTAAAATCTTAAATATAAACCAGGCATTACTGGCTCATCACTGTAATCCTAGCTACTCAGGAGGCTGAGATCTGAGGAAAGCCAGCCCAGGCAGAAAAGGCCAAGAGACTCTTACCTCCAATTAGTCACCAGAAAACTGGAAGTGGAGCTGTGGCTCAAAATGGTAGAGCTCCGGCCTTGAGTGAAAAAGCTCAGGGACAGCACTCAGGCCTTGAGTTCAAGCCCCATGACTGACAAAAAAAAAAAAAGTTAAATATATCAACAGACGCCCAAGCAATATAGAGAGATGGAAGTAATTCTAAAAACAGCATTAAAGTATAAAAATTTTTAAAATACTATTTAATTGAGGAGAAGTCATCTAAATTTAGAATTGAGCAGGGTAATAAAGAATCATCAATAATAAAAAAATTGATAGCCTATATAAAATGTTGTTATATTGAAGGAAAATGCTAAGCAAATGAAAGATGGTTTGTCATGTGTCACAAAAGAGAAATCCATGTGACTACATGAGTTTTACACATCCATGTGCATAAATATATATAAAAAAATGCAAGGTAAGATGACATTCAGGTCCTATACCTGAGGTCATTAACCAGCATCTCCAGTCTTTTACAAACACTATTTGCCATGAGATTCTTTGCCACGCACAAAAACATGCTTATTTTCCTCTGCATGTCCAGCTCCTCACTGCCCTTCCTCTACCATTTTTTTGTAGTGTTAAAGATTGAGCCCAGGACCCTGCACATAACAGGCAAGATCTCGATCTTTGAGCTACCCTCTCAGCCCCTACTCCTCACCTGTTATACCATAATCCTGACTGTCTTCTTCCCTGGCCTTTTCTAAATTTTAGTATCTTTCAAGGACAGCTCTTGCAAGCTCTTCCTGACCAGCCTGGCCTACCACCACTCAGTTGTATACATAGTAAAACAAAATCCATCACAAACATTTCAATTAACCAGTTTCAATTACTGAGTTAATTTCCTGAATCTTCATTAGTGTCTGATCCCCACAGTAGACGAGAAGTTATGGGGGACTGAGTGTGTTTTAAATCCCTCAGCCAACCTTTACTATGATCCAGTAAACATCTACTGATATGAATAAGCAGTATCACACAATGTTCAGAGGAAAATACTACTGTAAATACAAGAACATTCTAACATACATGATTAGAGAGAGAAAATTAATCAAATGTCTTCTTTAAACATCTTTTAAGAAGATAATAAAATGGGTGAGTTGGGGCAAGGTAAATTATCAAAGTAAAATATTATAAAATACTGAAACATACATTATTTACAAATATCATGCCGTTCTATCCAGATGGGGATACTGGAAAGTAACGTTCTCCTGAGGTAGGTGTCAGACAAAAGAGAAATCAATAATTATCGGATAGAAATAACATACAAAAACATACCTGTATTTCCTTGAGCATCTTCTACCTTACTTGGGGAGGGCAACAGAAAAGATGGCCTGGTGAAATGAGAGCCCTGAAGAGATGAGTGCTGCTGCTGCTGCTGCTGCTGCAGAGGCATGGAGCTGAGGACAAGGCGCCAGTCCACATGGGTAACATCTGACCTGGATCTAGCATGTCCTGGCTTGAAAGTTGAGGTCTCATCCAATAAGTCATTCACAGAACGAGGTCTGTCCCTCCGGCGCTGACAGATATTGAAAAAATTAAAAGTTGATGCTTCTTTTTGTTCCATCCAGGAAAGATTATCTGGGGCTGTTCCTCTCTGGACCATAAACTGTTCTTTGGCAGGGAAGACATTCTGCGCTTTGGTTTCTAAGAGCCTGCTTTTGCAGTGGTCCCAAATCATGCTTCCCTTGCCCAGGGAGGCAACATTTCTCACAGCACCATTATCTGTTAGGTTATTGAATACCTCATGTCCCACCAGTTCAGGGACTTCCTGAATTCCACAGATCTCTGCCTGCTGCACAGCCTTTTCTAGCTTACTATCGAAAGTACTAAAAAAATCCTCAGTAACCTCCAAGGCTGGGCTGATATCATCGACTTCCAGAGCTTCCATGTCGCAGGTTCCAAGAGGAAGAAGCCACCTAAGCTGATCCAGAAAAGGGCTTCATGAACTTTCACCCAACAAAAATGGGTGCTTCCACCAGAGAGCTATGGAACTGCCTGGAAGGAAACGCCTGGAAGGAACCTTCACTCAGCTGTTTAGATCAGGCCAAGAGTGATGGTTGTTTTCCTGGTCACTGAAAATATTTGCTGGCGAACAGAGGTAAGGGGAGATCAGTGTTCCTCTGAGCTAGCTTATTCTTCAGTGAGATCCCCAGGTAGAGCTTGTCACAGCAATGCCATGCCAATCCTTGATTTCCTGAAAGAAAATAAACAGGACAATACTGACACACTTTCATCGTGTCGTACAGTACACACGTCTGCTCATGATTTACAGCTCTTCCATAGCTGCCACACACAGGGAGACGGTAACATCTATGCAGAAGTCCTATTGTCAAGGATACACGCCATTCCCCCTTTGTATTAGAACTTCCATGGAGCAGGGGAAATAAGGGCAACAGCTTTCGCTCACACAGAGAAGTCTTTGAGAGCAGTTGTGAAAAGAATGCCCTAGCAAAATCTCTGATCTGTTCACTAGACTCCAACTCTCTCTTAAAATAATGACTGTTCATGTCACCTTCTAGTAAGGCTTAGTGTGGTCACATTATTAAAATAATAGCACACATCTTTGCCTTGAACTCTTGATCTCTTACTCTGCTTCTTTTTTCAAATAAACTTTTCATTTTAGAAGTTTTAGATCTGAAGGATAAACCCCACACCCGTTTACCTTTCTGTAACATTCTACATGAGCATGGCACGTTGGCAATAATAAATGAACCAATACTGATATATTATCAATTAAATGACATACTTTACTGAGATTTTCTCACAATTTCCTAATACCTTTCCTTCTGCTCCAAAATCCTATCCAGGATACCATATTTAGTTGTCATGTCTGTCCAGCATCTTCATATCTATGATAGTTTCTCAGACTTCGTTTGGATGATCTGGACAGTTCTGAGGAACACAGGTCAGGTATTTCATAGATGGCCCTCATGCAAGCTATGTTTTGGGAAGAAAGATCACTTGAGAGAAGTGCCATTCTCATCATTATATCCCAGTGAATACTATAACACAACTTACATGTTAAACAAGATCACATAGCTTGAGGTACCTTTCTCTTAAGCATTTACTAACTTCAAACATACCACTTAATTTTCTTACTTTTCAAATCTCTAATGCTTCTCTCTTCCTGCTAAAATATAAGCTCTATGAGTCCAGGAATTTGTGCTCATTATGCTACTAAAATATCCAATAGTGTGCATGTACACACACGTGTGCATGCATGTGTACACATGTGTACACACAGAGGCACTAAACAGATTTATGTTGAATAAAGGTTTTATTCTTCCTTTGTGTGACATTCATCGTCCTTCATGACCTTCCCACTTCTCCACTACTGTAGCACTTTTCTACTCCTCCAAGCTTGTCCAAGCCATGGAACCTTTCCTACTTGCTCAGGCAGTATTTGCTTAGAGTACCCTGGGTTTGCTCCATTGGATGAAAACAATCAGCTCATCTTGAGATCACACTCTAAGTTCTGAGCTACCTGATAACAGTCACTGTGCCTTACTTACCCTCCTACAAAAAAAATCTGTTTTCATACTTCTGGGCTCCATCTTCCAACCTTAGTCCTTCTGAAATTTCATCTTTTCCCTGGCCCCTAATGCCTCAAATAGTTCAGTCTCAGTAACTGAGTATCTCTTATCAGCTGGCCTCATTTAGCTTTTTTTTTTTTTTTTGTCAGTCATGGGGCTTGAACTCTGGGCCTGAGTGCTGTCCTTCAGCTCTTCAGCTCAAGCTGAGAGCTCTACCACTGGAGCTACAGCGCCACTTCCTCATTTAGCTTTTAATTAACTAATAATATACTATAATAAGAAATAATAACAAATGCTCACAGGTCAAAATACGAAGTGTTCTCTCCTCTTACAAAGCAAACTTCAGTGTGTGGGTGCAGTGTGGTGTAGCTCAGCACAAAGTTGGAAATCAGTAGCTAATTAGATCCGTGTTCTAAATCTGGCTCAACCACACACTTGTTGGGTGGCCTCTGGCAAATCATTTAACCTCTGGATGCCTTACTCAGCTACCTGTAACCAATAAAGCTGCTAATACCAAATTGTTTTGCATGTGGATCATTCTAGGTAGCTGTACCAACATGCCTTTAGAAATGTAAATTGCTATGTAATTATGGAGCACTCCACTGGACCACACCCACTCAACCTCCCTGGAAAGACTGGCCACCCAACAAAGGCAAAGTCAGCAACTAAGTACTTAGAATACACTACTTCTCTACCACACTTAGTGACCTACAGATACTGTACCTTATATTTCCATAGATGTCCTTTCTGTAAGAGGAGGTATGTCTCCTTAATATAGGTAGAGAAATTGAGATCCTTTTGTCTATTTGGTGATAACAGCACTAGCCCAAAGAATCCCATGCCTGTATCAAGGTGTGAGAATGGTATATTGCTATTTACTAACATGGAAACCAGCTGTTTCTGTGCCTATTAGGCAAAGCTAATTAACAGGCTGACTACAGCAGGTCCCACACAGAAGTGGAAGCAGATATGAGTAATCATACCAGGCTGGCCAACAGAGATAGATGCCTGTGCTAAGCAGGACGACAAAAGTGCTGACTTACCTGTTGTCAGAATTTAATGAATGCTGAAAGAATCTAAGACCACATACTTTCAGAAACAGCCAGACTGGAAAGAAAAATGTAATGCCAAAGACAACTAAGATAACTGCCTCTTTCAATCCATTTTCAAAAATGGGAACCAAGGATTGTCAGTATTCATGGTTCCCACATTTCTTTACTCTGGTTAAGGCTGTGGCTGGCTGAGAATTTTCTGAGTTACATCACTGAATCCACAGGAAGGGCAAGTGGATCATGAGCAGAAGGGAAGTTAGGCCTCCCATCAAGATCGTTGGTGATAAAGATGGAGGCAGGGACCAGCTCTAACTGGTCAGGGAGAGGCGGCAGGAGTGGGGAGGGGGGCAGTGATATAGCAAGTACTCATCTGACCTGTGGACTCCAGTCCCTTCATGGCCAGGGACCAAGTGTGTGTTCCCCCAGGCTCCATAGGGATCTAATCATAAAGAAACTTACATGCTCACATCTAAGGCTGGGGAACCAATTATAGAACCAGACCAGGAGCACATCCTAAGAGGGAGGATGCGAGGGACCCACAGATAGCATCCCATCTCCTCCTTTAACAAGGACTCCATTTTCTAGCTTCTTTCTCTGTATATTTCACTTTCAAATAAACTTAATGTCTGCTTTAAAATTTAAAAAAATTTAATCAGGAAGAAACTGGACTTTATAAACTCTCTATGATTTTAATGAAGCTATGATTTTTATGATGCTTTGTCAGGATGGCAGAGTAAAATATGTGGAGTACAGATATGCCTCAAGTGCAAGATCATGAAAGTGCACCCAGTGAAGCAGTGGCAAGAGCTCAAGGGGCTTTAGATGTGTGACGTGGGTGCTATTCTCATTTGACAAATGAGGAAAATGAGGCTTAACAATATCAAGGAACTCGACTGAGGTCACATACCTACACTGGTCTTTCAGCTACTTTAGAGTAGTCATTTTGCCCTAGCCTATTTTCATAACTCTCACTGGGCCTAAAACTGTGGTTAAAACACAATAGTACTCACTAACTACCTATGAAATAAGGAACTGAATAAAGACCATATTTTCAAAGCACTGACATTTGCATGTACATAAATCACTCTAGTTGTCTAGTAGTGTATTTGAATTCTTTTTATTTTATCTTTATTTGTACAAGAGTTATCATTCAACAAAGTAAATATACACATACAATGAAGCTTGATGGATGTCACCTCTTGAATTAAAAACTTTAGTAAAATGTGACCTGCGTTCTAAAACATGTTGATTCAAGTTTTTAAACTTTTTCTTAATAAAGAAGGCTTCCCTTTTTAAACACAGTAAATGTCAAGTAGCATATCTCTCACTCAGACCTTTTGTAAAAACAAAAGCATTTACACAGAACTTAGAAATTATTTTTTGACCTCTGCAATATCAGCAATTTGGCTGGTCTCAAGCTCTTGGATTTACAACTCTTTCTAAACTGAGTAATGAACTGTTCCCTTTGAAAAATCTCAATCTAAAGCATTTTTCAGCACAGTTCTGTATTTATTTATTTTCCACCTGAAAAATCTTTGAGACATTTGATGCTCTAAGATGTTTTCCCAGAAATGAAGCTAAATATAAGTATGGCACTTCAAATCTCAGATGATACAGAAGGCCACAATGTTATTACCTATCACCTATGTCCAACACTAGATAGCCAAGTCAGTGCTTCTAGATGGGAAGCCAATTTTTATAAAACCACCAGAGTTCCGATAATGTCCTGCTCTTAGAAACAAGGTCAAAGAACACAAATTTCAATTGCTACAAGTCTCTAAAAACACAGATTTGATCATTTTCCATCTCTCTTTGCCTCCATGACAGAGAATGATGACTAAAAACATTTAAAAAAAAAAAGATGGGGCACTGGTGGCTCAAGCCTGTAATCCTAGCTACTTAGGAGGCTGAGATCTGAGGATAACAGTTCAAAGCCAGCCCAGGTAGGGAAGTCTGTGAGACTCTGATTTCCAATTAACCACCAAAAATCCAAAAATGGAACTGTGGCTCAAGTTGTAGAGTGTTAGCCTTGCATAAAAAAAAAAGGTCAGGGACATCAGCCAGGCACTGAGTTCAAGCCCCAAGACCAGTGTGTGTATACACACACACATACACACACAATACAAAAAACAGTAAGCATTGTCTTCATCCTTAGACTGGTGAAGGTGAACACTTCCATCTAGAAGTCAGTCTTTAACTGCCAACAGGAAATGGGTGGCTAGATATATGTAGCTTAGCCACAGACAAGTTAATTGGCATGGGCTGACTAGTGAAAGATGGCAACAAGAACATACCAACAGGACCACCACTGAGACGCAGATAGGCAAGGTACCCCAAAGGAGCAAGGGAAGTAGCTTCAGATCAATTCATATAAAAGTCTGATTCTTCTACTTTAACCAGAAAAAAATGGGAGCTATGTTTCCCAAACCAATGCAAGGTGTTGTTTCCTTTACTTTTCTCATATAACTTCTCAAATTGAGGTCACCAATGAGAAAATCACTTGGCTTTACTGATAATATTAATTTTTCACATGCATGGTTTACAGTATGTTTTATGAGGTGTTTGGTGGGCTTTTTAATAAATATTTGTAGTAATCTCAAAAGAAAGAT